TCTGTGAAGCTTACACTACAGGCACAGCAATTTTGACTTTGCTCAACGTTCCTTTGGTGGAGCTGTGTAGAATAGGCATCATTCTTCTTTTGACTGCTATGACTTGATTCGAGGTGTCGGTATTTCACTCTTTCTGAGGCGCAGCCACAACAATGAACTGCACAATTCTGACATGGCATTTCATAAGGGTCTTCTCCATCCATCATTCGTTCCACAACTTCAGGCGAATTGTCCGTCTTATTAATATGCTTTCCATTAATTTTTAGGGCTGAATTATCCCAGCCTCTAAATTTCCACACAGGTAAATCTTTAACGTAGTCATTGGGGATGACAGGTTGTAACCAAAAGTTTGGAACAGCTAGACGATCAATTAGCATTTCAATGCTTTCATCTAGTTCCAATTCACTGGGCAGTAGAGGTCGTGTAAGTGTGACCATGGGACGAAACAAGCAGTTGATCCAATATGAATCCACAGGCAATACTTCCCACCATGGGTGATTGGATTCCCTCTCAATTTCTGTTTCATCATGACAGTGCTGCCATAAAAGCCATGTAGCCATAAACCCATAGACAAAGAATGTGAAAAATAACATGTAAGGATGCTGGGTTAGAATCTGCCAGTCTGCTCGGAGCATAGAGCCAATTTCAGTAAGGCTCATGTACCGCACCAAAATGAGTCCTTTGTCAGCTAAGAAGCTGACAAGAGAGAATCTGTAAGTGGCTAATATTAACAGCCATACTGAGAAAAGCCAGAAGTTGTAGCTGACAGCTGTCCACAGGCATCGTGCCACACATTTCCACCAAAATCGAAAAGAAACCTGGAATAAAATGGGGACATACTTTGTTATAATATTTAGAAGGGCACTCCTCAAATTAATGTGTTCAAATTATTTTAAAACTAATTTGTGAAAATGCATGCAACACACGGTCAATGTCTTCATATTTTCTGCCTCACAGGAGTGAATATGTGCACCCCAACTTGGAGTACGAATTTTTCATATGTTAGCCCACATTTATTGCAGACATAAATCTATTGTTGACAGGGCTAATCAAAAGTAGTCAATATTCTGTTACCAAATCAATTAAAAAAAATACACTGTATAAAAACAATTCTTTTGCTTGTGCTTTATGATGTACGAGCTGGAATAGCTCAGTTAATAATGAAATTCTCTATAACCTGGACAGCTAAAAACTTTGTTTTAAGATTTTATGTTTACATTATATATACAAAATAGTGACCAAAATTAAATTTACCAGACAAACGTTTTAATGTAGACCTTCAATGCCAAATTTACTTAAGTTCAATGAATAGATTTGGAGACACATTCTCCAACATTAATTTATTTTTATGTACTACATGCAAAGGACATAAAAATGTATGCAGAACTTCTGAAGGCTGCAGACTGTCACTATTATAAAGATCCTCAAATAATTTTCTTTAATGGGCTATGAGAAGTTATGGTATAATATATATTATTAGCACATGCATTTTCCATCCAAATGTGTGTCCTTTACCTGAAATATCTGCAGGCTGACAAGCATGTTGACAAGAACCAAACTGCACAGAAAAACATCATTCATTTCCGGCTGAACAGCTCGAAGGAACAAATTCATTGAAGCAAAGTTAAAATGTTCAAATCTCCGTTGACCATATACAACTTTTCGTTCTGGTGTTACAATTAAATAGCTGGGAATCTGATGATCAAGGAGTTTGAGTTTTTTCCGTACTGCCTCAGAATCTTCTTTCTTTAAAGAAAACATCCCAAACTTGATGCGACCAGTAAATTTAATACTAAGTGCTGCCAGGAAAAGTGGTGGATGAAGTAGATGAGTCAATAACAAAACTTTTACATCACTGCTGCTGCCACTACTTGAGGCAGAAGTGGCATTGTTCCCTGCTGATTCATCTTGGAGCCAATCTCGATTCAGCTCATCTATGTCATGGATATTCTTGACACGGATGGACAACTGATCTCGAACCCATTCTACAATTGACTGAAAAGTTTGAAAAATACCAATATAGCAAAATCAAAATAAGTTAAAAAAATAATCTGGATACGAGGAATTTCTGAGCATCACTTTCTGCTTTTCTTAATTTATAGCTATTCACAAACCATTCTCATTGCAGTGTGAAAATGGGTAGAATCTGAGGTAATTTCAAAATAAAATGTGTTAAGTCCTTGACCATGCTGTAATTCTTGAATGGGAATTAAGAACACTGCATAGAGATCCTGGCATTAAATACCCATTCTGGTTGCTCAAAAATTCAATAGCAAGAAAGACTTACTTGTGGTCGTGTGGAAGTGAAAGTTTTGAGGATAACTCTATCTTTCGCTCTTGTTCCCTTTGGCAATGCTAGTAACAACAGAGGATGGTGCCAGCCTTTACTACTACAAAGCCTGAAACCAAAATATTGGAAAACATTAAACTATCATGAAAAACATCCTTACGGGCCAATAAGATTATTTTGTGTAGAAAGCAAAATAAACAGCCTGTCCTCTGTTTATTTAATTGTGACAAACACATCATTCTGCATAATGTTTTGTTGATTGGTTCCTTAGCTCATACTAATTCTATCATACCAAAAATAGTACACTCAATTACAAAGTAAGCTTCTGACTGCTGGGACATATATCAGTCTCTAATCAGACAGATTTTCCACGTTATAGTTGACCACCTAACCATAGTGTGAAACTAACACAAATAAGAATTCATTCACTCAGGCAGGGGATTAATAAATAATGTTTCAATCTTTGGTGTTCACTCTGCATGCCACTTCGTTCAGTGCCCTGCTTAACCAATAGTACTATTTCATGTCTGGCTATGTCCTTGCATTATATCAGTATTTAAATGTGGATAATACAATGAGATTTACCGTCTATCCAGTCTGCAGTCAAAAACACCAGTCCTTATAGCAAAGGGTGCAACCTGACTGCAGACAATATGCCAACTGTAATCATCAAGCAGTGGTTCTACATGGGGTCCACCAGTCGGCACAACCTGTACCAACCATACACTATCCTTTGTATCCTCTACTTCTTCATAGAAATGAGGACCACCTGTGAAATGAGATGGAGGTGAGGGTGCTGTAAGCCGTTCCCTAGCAGACTTATCTGTTCCAGTAACACCATGAACATGACCCAATTCTTCCACTTCACTCTGGACCACTACAGCTATAAGTCAACAGAAATATTCATTAATCATTCCTCTCTTCTCCATAAGTGCTTATCCAAATGAATGTATCATACTAAATGAATTCCAAGTTTCATGAAATATTACATACCTGATGCTTCAACCAACTCAGCCAATTCCTTTTTCTCAACATAGCCTGCATAGCTTACACCTCTATTTTCTAGAAGGTGTTTTAACTGACGAACACTAAGTAGCAATGGATCTACTATCTGAGTGGAAGAAATTCCATGTTGATACCACAGCACCAAATCCAATATCCGAGATATTAAGAACACCAATACCAAATATATTATCAGCAAAGTGGCTTGGATCCATATGGACCGCATTGTGAGTTATTTATGTCATATAATATTTAACAGAGAACGTACATTCTTCCTAAAGAGAAATAAGACATTACTATGAGTATATAGGTGAGCAGTGGGCAAAATCCCATATTCTAATGTCAATGATTGCTGTTAATAATTATTCAGGATGTACTTTAAATTGCAGTAACATTACCTACATAAGTTTCAATTTGTCGAAAAAACAGGGACGTCTTGTGTGTTGTATTTTTGTTTGGTATAATTCTATAACACTTTCACCAAGCACACATTTATCGGATGTCCTTGACCCCCTTTTTATCGCTGATCACAATGTAATCACATGTTCAAAGGATCTGATTGGCGGGATATGATGTATGAGTTCAAATGCTTTTGATGACTGTTCGCGTATTCAATATTAATATCTTACGTTACGCCCCTTCTTAATATATAAATTCCAATACTGCCAACTCTACTGCAACGTGTTACATTGAAACCTATGTTAAATTAAGTTTCTACTGACAGCCAGATTCCAGCAGACGACCAACTTACAATAATCGAAATCGAAAAACATCGATTTGTTGACTAACGATAGTTGACATACGATAGTTGCCCTTGCTGAACTGTGTCTTGTGTGCGCAAGCTTTATTTATTATGGCGTGAAAGCGATGTTGGGAATTGAGGCTGTCAGTCCTGTTATGAGTTCTTGACTTTTTTATTAGTATTTAAATGTAACATGGATACCCATCAACAGGACACTGGGTCTCAGCATCATGAACTTTTCTTACAAGAGATAGAAGGAATTGATGAATACTGGGGACCGACATTTAGGTATGTATACATATACTGTACTCTCAGAAGGGGAGGGTCTGATATGAAATCAAAGCCCCCGCGAGTAAAATGTCGAAAGTACGCAGGAGCTCCCGTGTTCGATCCAAAATTTCGCATCTGCGCAATTGGTGGTTCAATTTGTAAGTCACAGAAGTAACCCCACAAAGCGCCCAAACAACTTGGGAGGAAACAGGTTGACAGTCTGAGGTCGTTTACAAGTCTCTGATAGGGTGACAGTTTATGGTCGTGATGGCAAAGCCTACTTCTAGAGGATCTGAAGCAATTATCAGCACACAACCTAAATATGAACATTTACTATATGAACTTGAGACCACAGACACCAGTAGTGTG